TATTGTACAGTGTTTCAAATTACATATATGTGTGTGAGTATGTATGTGTTTATATGTTTTCTTAGCCATTCAGATCAATCCCAGACAGACTACAGTGCAAGTTTATTAGCCATCTTATATGTGAGGTTGTCGTTTCCTCCAGGGGTACATGGCTACTAAGCAGGAACTCAGATCTTGTAAGTTCTTTTCTGGTAGGTAAGAGTAATTTTTTTTCCTCTCTGCTACTTGTAGTTCCTCAGGAAATCAAGAAAGCAGCATCAGAGCTGTGTTATTCTCCTCTTTGATGTAATAAAGTCAGCTATTAGATATGAGAAAACCATTTCAGAAGCCTGGATTAAGGTGAGATCTTTGGAACTGTGATTATCAAGGAGGAAATGAGTGGCAATTAGTGACAGATGTATAACTGAGGTAGATTGAAATAAAAATCTCAAAAGTCATTCGAGTGGAAATGATGGCTGATGGCTGCCATATGGACACATTGGCTCTTGGATGACATAACAGGGCAGGCTGAGTAAGGTGAAACGTGTTTCACTGATGTGTCGTAATGTTTTTGTGACTGTCTCTTGTTTTTTCAGGCAATTGAAAACACTGCCTGAGTGTCTGAACACAAGGTAATGTTCATGTACTATGCATTTTCAGTATTGCAGACTTAAAAGTAATGACGTTGGCTAGCTTGTCTTCCCGCTTTCTTTCTTTCCCCTCCTTCCAGTCACTCTTTTCTTCTCTTCTCTAGTTGCTCTAATAAACATTAGCTGTCTGGGGAAGATAATCTGAGGGGGCGACTGGCCAGATAGCCTGCCCCTACTCACTCTGGCTATAAAATAAGCCTACAGTATCCATAAGGGGAAATACTAACAGTGTAACCAAGCATATCAAGATGCAGTCAAAGAAGCCAAGTCCCCACCGATGAGATGAAGAAAATAACCACCTGAGTCTCAGGTCCCTGTATCTGCCTAATTGCCCTTCCTTCCACCCAGCACCACTGTCAAGATAATGGCATTCCATGTTTTATTTTACTTTGCCCATGTAGACCTGACTGGAGTAAATCAGTCTGTCCACTGTCAAGGCAATGGTACTGGATCTTATGTCTCTATTAATTCTAGAAATATCTTCCATCAAAAAGCCTGATGATTGGCCGGGCACAGTGGCTCATGCCTATAATCCCAGCATTTTGGGAGGCTGAGGCAGGCGGATTGTCTGAGGTCAGGAGTTTGAGACCAGCCTGGCCAATGTAGCAAAAACCCGTCTCTACTAAAAATACAAAAAAAAAAAAAAAAAAGCCTGGCCTAGTGGCATGCACCACTGCACTCCAGCCTGGGCAACAGTGCAAGACTCCATCTCAAAAAATAAAAAGCCAGATGATTGAGTTCCTTAGGTGCTGATTGGTTGCCTTTAAAGATTTTTCTTTGGTTGGAATCTGTTTTGTGGGATTTTTGTTGTGTTAGCCAATTTTTGGATGACTATCTTAAAAGCTTTCATGATGCCAAATAAAGCGATGAAAATTCGTAATTTTTTATGGTGAAAAATATCAAAATACTCCAACACACTGTTTTTGGTTTTGGATAAACATAAATTTACCACCTTGGCTACCTGCATACCTATTTTTACATATTCGTAATCATTGTATGAATATAATTTGTATTCTTTTTTCTCTTAACATTTTTTCTTCTCCATGTACTTCTTCATTGTCTTCATTGCTATCTTTAATGACTGTATTCTAGTCTAATGACTCTCAATTTTGGTGTTCTAAGGAGTAGGGCATTCAGTTAAGAGAAGTAGTAAAATTTGTTTTGTTTTTTTTCTTTTGTGTCCTGCTTGCCTTTTTTTTTTTTTTGACAAGATAAAACCACAGGTGAATATTTATGCAAACTCAGGCTAAGAAAATAATTTCTATAAAATATAAAAGAAAGAAATTATGTTAGAGAGTGTTGATAAATATGACCATATAAAATTTATGGTTACAAAGATGAGTTGAATTGACCAATTAGCTTCTTGGAAAATATGAAAACTTGAATGCTTCTTGAAAGCACTAGAAAAAGGTCTGTTCTGTGATCTATTTTTTAAAGAGAATTTCCAGAATAAAAGGAATATACCTTTTTTATTATTATTATACTGTAAGTTCTAGAGTACATGTGCACATTGTGCTGGTTTGATACATAGGTATACATGTGCCATGT